CTCACTCTGTCACCCAGACTGGAGTGCAGTGGCCGCTCCCGGCCACCGCAGCCTCGACCTGCTGGACTCTGGTGATCCTTCCGCCTCAGCCTTCCAAGTAGCTGAACTACAGGCGCACGCTACCGTGCCCAGCTAATTTTTTTTTTATTTATTGTAGAGATGAGGTCTCGCTAAGTTGCCCAGGCAGGTCTTGAACCCACGGGCTCAGGCAATTCACTCACCTCGGCCTTCCAAAGCGCAGGATTACAGACTGAGCCACCGAGCCCGGCCATCTTTTTCTTTTTTAAACAGAGTTTATTAGTGAGAAGAAGAAAAGGAAAAAGGAAGATTCGTGGCAGAAAGATCTGCCATGGGCAAGTTTCTCAAAAAAGAAACACCGCCAAATTTTCTTTTTCTTTTTCTTTTTTTCTCCAAATTTTCTATACTAAGCATATATATATATATATATATATTGGAGTCTCACTCTGTCGCTCAGGCTGGAGTGCAGTGGCATGCTCACAGCCATTGCAACCTTGACCTGCTGGATTCAAGCGAACCTTCTGCCTCAGTCTTCCAAGTAGCTGGAGCTACAGGCACGCGCCACCATGCCTGGCTAATTTTTTGATTTATTGTAGAGATGAGGTTTTGCCAAGTTGTCCAGGCTAGTCTTGAACCCATGGGCTCAGGAAGTCCTCCCAACTTGGTCTCCCAAAGTACTGGGATTATGGGTATGAGCTACCATACCCAGCTTAGCATATATTTTTATAATATTTTAAAAGTTGTGGCCAGGCACGGTGGCTCACGCCTATAATCTCAGCACTTTTGGAGGCTGAGGTGAGAGGATTGCCTGAGCCCACAGGTTTGACACCCGCCTGGGCAACTTGGTGAGACCTCATCTCTACAATAAATTAAAAAATTAGCTGGGCACGGTGGTGCATGCCTGTAGTTCCAGCTACTTGGAAGGCTGAGACAGAAGGATTGCCTGAGCTCAGCAGGTTGAGTCTATGGTGGCCATGAGCGTACCACTGCATTCTAGCCTGGGAGATAAAAGTTCAACTCAAAAAAAAAAATTAAAATAAAATGGTAATAATGAAAATAACAACAACAAAAAACATAAATAATTCTGTAAGATAGTACATGTACTCCAAAAGTCCCAAATGGAAATTCTAAACTAAAGAGATTTAAGGCCAATGCTAAACAAAATTCCGCAAGCTGCTGGTCTCCCTTGTCCTGATTTACCTCACAGTTAATCAGATAAGGCCCTGATAGTAGAAACTTCTTGCAGAAACTTCTTGCTCGCGGTTCTGTCCCAAGTCTCTTCTTCTCTATCTACATTCTCACATGCTTACTTTGTATGCTAATGACACACTCAAATTTCTATCTCTACCCAGGCCTGTCTCCTGTACATCAGACTCATTTATTCAACTACCTATTATTTCTCTGGTTCTACAGGTACTTTGAAATGTTCAACACCGCATTCATTTCCAACAGTTAACGTGTCCAATATTGAATTCATCATCTTCCTCCTTAACCCTGTGGCTTTTCCTTTACCTCTGAGAACACCCATTCGGTGTCCCAACTGGGAAACCCTGGGCTAGACTTCCTTTTCCTCTGCCCACACTGACTCCATCACCAGACCCTATTAATTATGCCTCAATATTTTTCTTGACTTTGTCCACTTCTCTTCATCTCACTACCTTACTAATTTAGGTTTCTATTGCTTTTTTTTCTTTAAGTTAGGGTCTCACTCTGACACCCAGGCTGGAGGGCAGTGGCACAATATCACAGCTCACTGCAGCCTCAACCTCCTGGGTTCAAGCTATCCTTCTGCCTTAGCCTCTTGAGTAGCTGGGACTGAAGGCATGTGCCACAATGCCTGGCTAATTTTTTGCAGAGATGAGGTCTCCTATGTGGCCCAGGCTGGTCTTGAACTCCTGGGCTCAAGCAACTCCCCCGCCTCAACCCCCAGAGTTGCTGGGATTACAGGCACGAGCCACCATGCTCAGCCTCTCATTTCTTATTGCAATAGTTATCCACTATTGTGCACACTTCTCCAATCCATTTTGTAGATTTCTTAAATTCCTTAAATTATCTTCATTTTAAATGGTCTTCAATGTTCTTAGTTCTTAGGATAAGTACAATCTCTTTAATGCGGCTTACAAGACCCTACAAGCCTCTTACTCTTGCTTCCTTCTGCAGTTTTCATTTCCTGCAGCTCCCCTACTCTTATCCAGCGTTATAGCCATCCCAAACTTATTTCATTTCCCAGAATGTGCCATGCTGTCTTCCCTCTTGAGTCTTTGAAGACATGGTTCCTTCAATATGGCACACATAGCTCAGTCTTAAAGTATTAACAATAACATTCTTTGGGAAGCCTTCCCCCTAACCACTTATGACCCTGTCCTGAAACCACAAGCAGAGGATGACTTCCTTTTCCTAGCTATCATGGCACCTCCCATAACTAACACATTTATCACACTTTATTGTTAGTGACTCTATTGGCATTTCCCACTAGACTTTGAAGAGGTCATGAGAAAAGGCCTGTTTCTAACTTGATCACCTTGTTTCACTAGAACCTAAAATAGTAACCAGCTCATAGAACTGCTCAGGCCAGGTAAGGTAGCTCACGCCTATAATCCCAGCATTTTGGGAGGCTGAGATGAGAGGATCAGCTGAGCCCATGGGTTCGAGACCAGCCTGGGCAACTTGGTGAGACCTCATCTCTACAATAAATTTTTAAAAAATTACCCAGACGTGGTGGCGCATGCTTGTAGTTCCAGCTACTTGGAAGGCTGTGGCAGAAGGATCACCTGAGCCCAGCACGTCACCTGAGCCCAGCATGCCACTGCCCTCTAACCTGGGCAACAGAGTGAGACTCTTACTCAAAAAAAAAAAACAACCAAACAAAACTGCTCAATAAACATTTGCTGAATGAAGAAATATAAAACTATTAAAAATGCTACGGAGTATTTTTTCTTTTTTTAAGCAAAGGAAAAGGAAATAAGAAGAGCACTTTTCTTTTGAGTCAGAGTCTCACTCTGTCGCCCAGGCTGGAGCGCAGTGGTATGCTCATGGCCACTGCAGCTTCAACCTACTAGGCTCAGGTGATCCTTCCAAGTAGCTGGAACCACAGGTATGCACCACCATGTCTGGCTGATTTTTGATTTACTGTAGAGAAGAGGTCTTGCCATGTTGCTTAGGCTGGTCTCGAACCCCTGAGCTCAGGCAATCCTCTTGCCTCAGCCTCCCAAAGTGCTGGGATTACAGGCATGAGTCACCGGGCCTAGCCTGAGATGTGACTTTCAAAGGTTAGTAGTAGAATGTGTTATAGGACACGCTTTTATTTTTAAAAATCTATAAAGATTTTTTAAAAAACCTGTGTGCATGTCATCTTCATGGAAATGTTAAAAGTTATCTTATTAGTTTAGTCAAGGACCTTATGACCATAAACTACTTCTACGTATATTAGCATAAGGTAAGATAACAGCATTGTGAGATAGGAACAGTAAGTATTATTATTTAAACCACATCTCAAAGTAATTACAAGATTTCCCCAAAAGAATTCTAAATGAGTGCCTTTTCCAAATAGAGTAGCCTGTAACTTAAGTGTTAACCACACCGCAGACAAACCACAAGATAGACATGAACTTTGAACTGTTTATCTAATATCAGAATTGTAGCCACCCACCTGAAATTTCTCTCTTTTGGTTCATGTGACCACTAACAAACATGCATGAGAGTGAATGGAGGAGGGTATTTTGTTGAAATAGGGAAAAGCAGAGATAACTGCCTCACAAAGTACCTTCATGAAGGGGGTCAATGCCATGGCCCTGACCACAGTAGGCTAGGGTTTCCCATTCCTCCTTAATTTCTATGTAAACTTAATTTACTGAAGTATCAAGAATATTTAGGAAAAAAAGAAAACAGTTTAACTTAAATGAAGAAACAACTCAAACATGACATTCTAGTACCAAGATTTTCTTTGTTCTAGGAATTTTATTTAACTTTTTCTTTTTTCACAGGGTCTTATGGAGAAATGTTCTAGAAATTTTAAAGGAAGGTCAACTCAATCCATTTAAATCTGAAATGAGTGCCATGACCAGTTTAGCTGGACCCATTTAGATGCTGGAGAGTATCTGCAAAACCTGAGGATTCTGACTACAGATAGCTTATATCAGTCTTAAAATTTAGTACTTATTTTAAATACAGAATTTCATCCTTCATGAAGCCCACTTTTGAGTGAATTTTGAAACACATGTTGATGCCGGGTGAGGTGGCTCATGCCTGTAATTCCAGCACTTTGGGAGGTAGAGGCGAGAGGATTGCCTGAGCCCATGGGTTCAAGACCAGCCTGGGCAACTGGCAAGACCTCGTCTCTACAATAAATCAAAAAGCAGCCGGGCATGGTGGCGCATGCCTGTAGTTCTGGCTATTAGGAAGGGTGAGGCGAAAGAATCGCCTGAGCATAGCAGGTCGACACTGGGGTGGCTGTGAGCGTGTCACTGCACTCCAGCTTGGGCAATGGAGTAGGACTGCAACTCAAAACAAAATAAGAAAAAAAGAAATGCTGTTTTATTTTCCCTGATGCTCTCCCACTGTTTCTTAGTAGTTGTGTCTTGAATCATCAGGACTTTGGCATTAGATTGCAGTGGAGAACTGAGGGTGCAGCAAGTGAACAATGAGTAAGGAGGAAGTACAGTTGTCCTTCAGTATTTGTGGAAGATTGGTTTCAGGACTCCCTCCACCATGAATACAAAAATCCACAGATGTTCTAGTCTATTAACTAGGTGTATAGGATTTGCATATAACCTGTACACATTCTCCTGTATAGTTTAAATCTCCAGATTACTTACAATACCTGATACAATTAAGACGTTGTGTAAATAGTTGTGTGTTCGTATGTGTATATATATGTATATACACACAACAGTTGTTGTACAAATATATATGCTGTTTCCATCCAAACTTGGTCTGTACATTATGTTATAAGATAACTTGGTAACCAAAGTATAAGCACATACCTGATAGCTGCTACCTTTCCAAAACCTTTTCATTTCTTTACGTCTCCAAGCAACAACCGAGGCAGTAATAAGTGTGCAAGGTACTAAATAGAGGAGAGCAGGCTGCCCCTTTTTCATTAGCACCAGAACAACAAATGTAAGTATCATGCCAATGGCATAGGCTGTAAGAAGAATATCAAGTTGTCAGTCATTTCTACATGCTACCAAAGGTAGGTTTTTCCTTCCTCACTGAAGTATTGGTTTTCAAATATTCTGAGGACATTTTTGCACTATGACTTCCTACCATAATTTTATTATTTTTCTAGACAGAATTAAGAGAAAGATTCTACAGAGCTTTTGAAAAATTTGGAAACTGGCAATTATTAATAACCTAATCATCAGTTATTGATAAAGGCAATAATTCAAAAAAGAAAGATCTTCCTAATGTTAACTACATACTTCCTAAACTTTTAAATTTTTTTTTTTTTTTTTTGAGTTGGGATCTTACTCTATTGCCCAGGCTGGAATGCAGTGATACAATTATGGCTCACTACAGCCTCGAACTCCTAGGTTCAAGCAATCCTCCCACCTCAGCCTCCCAAGTACTAAGATTCTTTAATAAAAACATACCAAACATCATTTGAACTTTTCTTAATGACTCGGGGTTTCATTAGGAACACACGGTCTCAGAATATTGGAGCTGGAAGGGCCTTTACAGACAACAGAGTCTAGCTTGCTGTTTTATTTTATTTTTTGAGTCAGGGTCTCACTCTGTTGCCCAGGCTGGAATGCAGTGGCACAACTGCAGCTCACCGTAGCCTCAAACTCCTGGGCTCAAACAATCCTTCCACCTCAGCCTCCTGAGTAGCTGGGACTACAGGCGTGAACCACCATGCCTGGCTAATTTTTAAATTTTTCTTTTTTTAGAAAAAAGGTCTCGCTATGTTGCCCAAGCTGGTCTTGAACTCCTGGATTCAAGTAATACTCCTGCCTCAGTTTCCCAAAGTACTAGAATTACAGGCATGAGCCACTGTACCTGGATAGCTTCCCATTTTAAAAATGAGGCAATGGTGGACCAGGGAGTTTAAGTGAGTTGCCCAAAGTTACACAGACAAATTAATGAACACGCCTATAATCTGCCTTTTCACTGAGTGTTCTTGTATTCTATCACAATGACTGGTACTGGACTCTAATACTTTAAAGCCCTTAAGGAGTACCATACTTAGAGATTTTAGATTGTTTTTCTTACTTCTTTATAGTTTTCTTTTCTTTTCTTTATCTTCTCCCTCACTTAGCTATTTTCTTGCTGTCAGGGTAACTATTTCTAGCAACATTCTTCTCTACTACTAATATATACTTTTAATTTACTGGATTTAATTCCACTGTTGACTTGCAAACCTTGTTAGAAGAGTATCTAAATGGAGGCTGGGTGTGGTGGCTCACACTTGTAATCCTAGCACTTTGGGATGTCAAAGTGAGAGGACTGCCTAGACTCAGGGGTTTGTGACCAGCCTGGGCAACAAGGCAAGACCTCGTCTACACAATAAATAAAAAAATTAGCTGAGCGTGGTGGCATACGCCTCTGTAGTCCCAGTAGATTGAGGCTACAGTAGCTACGAGTGTGCCACTTCACTCCATCCTGAGCTACAGACTGACTCCAATTTTTAAAAAAAAAAACAGTATTCAAATGGATCCAGTGCAGGCCATTTACCTAAGTATATAGACAGAGTTTTGGTGTATGGACTTTGAGAACTTTATTTGATTCATTCAGATGCAGTAGAGTGTTTTTTTGTCTGTGCTTAACTCTGTTCTCAATAATAAAAAAAGAGGGATAAGTGACAACTACCTCTGCCATCTCAGGTGAGATGTTATTGTGCCACAAATTTATTTAAATAACCGAATAGTTATATCTACACACTATTTTAAAAAAATCTAGAAAGGATGAGTATGGTAGCTCATGCCTATAATCCCAGTATTTGGGAGGCTGAGGTGAGGGGATCACTTGAAGCCCAGGGGTTCAAGACCAGCCTGGGCAACATATAGAAACTCCATCTCTACAACACACACACACACACACAAATTTAGGGGAAAAAAATCTAGTAACATACAATTTAATGACTACAAATGTGCCAGGTGTTCTAATAAACTTTTATTATAGAACTTAATCTTTTTCTTTCACATCTCATTTCCTTATTAAACCTCCAAAACTTTGTAATATCATCAGTAAAGTCTAATTATTCCTTTTTGATGAAAAAACTTATTTTATTAACTAATGGCAAAGAATTAGAATCCTGGACTCCATATTTTTAGATCTCTGCCTTTTCCTCTACACAATATAATTCAATATTTAAAAAATAAAAAAAGTTTACCAATTGTGGAGGAAACATAGTATATAGAAGAAGAACCGGTTTGAACATCAAATCTTCTACAGTATGCTATCAACAGGCCTAAAAAAAAAAACCCAAACAAACAACTCTACATTATTTTCTTAAAACAATAGCAACATAAGCATAACTATTAACTATGGTAACAGTATATGTTGTATTATACTTAATTTTCATTTTTATATTATGAGAGCATTAAAATACCTCAAATTCTGAACAAAGTTTTATATGCTGATTTTTAAAAACATAATACAATACTTTAAACATCTTCCCAAGCCATAAACCCATTTCTAACAAGATTTTTTTTTTTGAGTTGGAGTCTCTCTCTGTTGCTCAGGCTAGAGTGCAGTGGCATGAGGTGATCCTTCCACCTCAGCCTCCCAAGTAGCTGGGACTACAGAGTGCCACCATGCCTGCTAATTTTTAAATTTTTTTGTAGAGACAAGGCCTCACTATGTTGCCCAGGCTGATACTGTACTCCTAGGCTCAAGTGATTCTCCTGCCTTGGCCTTCCAAAGTGCTGGGATCACAGGTGTTGCGCCTCCGTGCCCAAGAACAACATGATTTTTATTAGCTGCTCAATATTATCCATGTCATGAAGAAAATTTTTTAAATGTAACAAAAAAAAGTGACTGGCATGGTTGCTCACACCTGTAATCCCAGCACTTTGGGAGTGTTAGGCGGGAGGATAGCTGGAGACCAAGAATTTGAGACCACCCTAGGCACAGCAAGATTCTGTCTCCACAAAAGACAACAACAACAAAAATTTTAGCTGGATATTATGGTACATCTATAGTTCTAGATACTCCGGAGATGGAGACAGGAGGGGTGCCTCAGTCCAGTGGTTTGAGGCTGCAGTGAACTATGATCATGCCACCATATTCCAGCATGGTGACACAGTGAGACCCTGTCTCAAAAATAAAATTTAAAAAAGTACTGGCTAGCAAATGGGATTACATCAAACTAAAAAGCTTCTGCACAGCCAAGGAGACAGTTAACTGAGTGAGAGACAACCTGTAGAATAGGAGAAAATATTTGCAAACCATATATTTGATAAGAGATTAATAACCAAAATATATATTCAAAATATGTAAGAATTCAAACAACTCAATAGTAAGAAAACCAATAATGAAATTAAAAAATGGGCAAAGGATTTGGGTAGACAATTCTCAATAGAAGACATACAAATGGCCAACAGGTATATGAAAAAAATGCTCAAAATCACTAATCATCAGAGAAATGCAAATTGAAACCCACAATGAGATAATACTTCATATCTGTTAGTATGGCAATTATCAAAAAGATGAAAGATAAGTGTTGGAGAGGATGTGGAAATAAGGGAAGCCTCTCCACAATGTTTGTGGGAATATAAATTAATACAGTCATTATGGAAGAAGTATAGAACCATATGTAGGTTTCTCAGAAAATTAGAAATAGATATGATCCAGTAATCACACTACTGGTTATATTTACAAAGGAACTGAAATCAGCATGTCAAAGAGGTTTATGCATTCCCATGTTCACTGCAGCATTATTCACAATAAAATCAGCCTAAGTTGGCTGAGCACAGTGGCTTATAGCCTGTGATCCCAACACTCTGGGAGGTAGCAGAAAGAAGACTGCCTGAGTTCTGCCTGTGCAACTTAACAAGTCCTCATTTCTACCAAAAAAAAAAAAAAGCCAGGTGTGGTGGGGTATGCTTGCAGTTCCAGCTACTTAGAAGGCTGAGGGGGAAGGATCGCTTGAGCCCAGCAGGTTGAGGCTGCAGAAGCCATACGTGGAAGTGTGCCACTGCACTCCAGCCTGGGTGACAATAAGACTTTGACTAAAACAAAAAGAATCAGCCAGCTGCAGTGGCTCACACTTGTAATTCCAGCACTTTGGGAGGTGGAGGTGAGAGGACTGCCTGAGCTCAGGGGTTCGAAACCAGCCTGGGCAACTTGGCAAGACCTCATTCATCTCTACAATAAACAAACAAATAAATAAATAAATAAATAAATCAACTGGTTAGGAATGTTGGTGCATGCCTGGAGTTCCAGCTACTTGGAAGGCTGAGGGGGAAGGATCACCTGAGCCCAACAGGTTGAGACTCTGACTCAAAAAAAGAAAAGAAAAGAAAAAGAATTTACCCAAGTATTCATCAATAGATGAATGGATAAAGAAAATATGGTATGTATAAAAATGGAACACTATTCAACCTTAAAAAAAGAAGGGGCTGGGCATGGTGGCTCAAGCCTATAATCCCAGCACTTTGGGAGGCCAAGGTAAGAGGACTGCCTGAGCCCACAGGTTCGTGACCAGACTGGGCAACTTGGTGAGACCTCATCTCTACAACAAATTAAAAAATTAGCCAGGCGTGGTAGCATGCACCTGTAGTTCTGACTACTTGGAAGGCTGAGGCAGAAGATCACCTGAGCCTAGCAGGTTGACACTTGGGTGGCCATGAGTGTGCCACTGTACTCCTGCCAGGACAACAGAATGAGACTTCCAACTCACAAAGAAAAAAAAAAAGAAGGAAATTCTGTCATTTGTGACAACATGAATAAACTTGGACAACACTGCATCAAGTGACATAAGCCAGGCACAGAAAGACAAATACTGCATGATCTCATTTATATGTGGAATCTATAAAGGTTGAATTCATAGAAGCAGAGAATAGAATGATGGTTACAAGGGGTTAGGGTGGGAGATGGGAGACATGTGGGTCAAAGGATACAAAATTGTATTTAGATAGGAGAAATAAGTTCAAGAGAGATCTACTGTATAATATGGTGACTACTGTTAACAATAAATTATACTCTTGAAAATTTCTAAGAATAGATTTTAAGTGTTTTCACCACAAGAAAGATAAATATATGTTAATTAACTCGATTTAACTATTCCACAATGTATATGTATATTTTACAGCAACGTTTTACATAATATACATAGTTTTTATTTGTTAATTTAAATAAATAAGTAAATACAATGTTTAAAAATGTATTGAAAAGGCATCAAGAATCAGCCGAGCTCGGTGGCTGAGTCTGTAATCCCAGCACTCTGGGAGGCTGAGGTGAGTGGACTGCCTGAGCCCGGGTTTGAGACCCGCCTGGGCAACTTGGTGAGACCTCATCTCTACAGTAAATAAAAAAAATAAAATTAGCCGGGAGTGGTAGTGCGCACCTGTATTTCCAGCTACTTGGAAGGCTGAGGCAGAAGGATCGCCGGAGCCCAGCAGGTCGAGGCTGCGGTGGCCGGGAGTGGCCACTGCAATCCAGTCTGGGTGATGGAGTGAGACTCCAACTTGGAAAAAAAGAAAGAAAAAAAAAAAAAAAAAAAAAGAGACTCCAACTCAAAAAAAAAGGGCATCAAGAAAAGCAATTTCAGCTGGGCTCGGTGGCTCAGCCTGTAATCCTGCGCCTTTGGGAGGCTGAAGTGAGTGGATTGACTGAGCCCATGGGTTCGAGACCCGCCTGGGCAGCGAGACCTCATCTCTACAATAAATAAAGAAATTAGCCGGGC